CGTCCTTGACGCGGCCGCGGCTCGGGCCGCGGCCGCGTCCGCCGCAGCCGCAGCAGAATGCGAAGCCCGAGAGGAAGAGGAGGATGGCGGCGGCGAGCGTCATCCAGAGGCCCACTCCGAGATCGGCCGAGGCGCCGTCGACGCTGTCGATGCGCTTCTTTGCGACGATGAAGAGGGCGAGGTCGAGGCCAAAGGCGATGACGGTGATGGCGGTGGCGATGCCGCTAAAGCACATGCCCATGCAGTTCCTGCTCGCCGGGCGGCAGTGGGACAGCAGGCCGAAGAGAAAGGCGATGGCGGCGAGGCCGAGGGCTGCAGAGGCACGCAAGAGGGGCCAGACAGGGAACGAGGGAGGAGAAGAGGAACGAGTGCGTCAGCCATGCGATCCCAAGCAGGCGATTCAGAAAGAGGCCCACCGTCGCGGCAAGGCCACGCCACGGAGCGCAGACGTACCGATGGGATGGAGGACGAGGGTGTAGGTGAGCCCCTTGATGACGGCCGACGTGTACTTTGCGCTGATGATCGAGATGCCGAGGAGCTCGTTTGGGTCGAAATTGTAGCCAATGGTGGGGCTGCTGCACTTGCTGCCGATGCAGTACCCGAGAACGCCAAGGGTGGCCGTCTGGCCGCGCTGTCCGCCCTGGCCTCCGATGATGGCCTTGAGGAAGTAGATCGAGTCCCAGATCGGGGTGGATATGGTGACGAGGCCGAGGAGCACGGCGGCCGCAAAGGTCAGCACGGTGCCTGGCGTGGCTGCGCTGAACATGGTGGGATGCTGCTCGTGACCCAGAGAGGGAGATGTGGTTGTTCGAGCGGCGAGCGGGTTAGTCGTCGGCGGACGGGAGCGTGTGGGTGGACGCGGAGCTCGGAGCTGTCTTGTGGATGGTCGTGGTCGTGATCGCGGTGGTGCGGGTAGTGATGGTGGTTGGTGGTCAAGAGGAGAGAAGGGCGCGGTGCGCTGCAGATGGTTGTCTCCGCCTGGGTTGTATACCGATGCCGAGGAGGCAAGTCGGCGAGCCAAGTTGTAACGCGGTGTCGAGTCCGGGAAGGGTCTGATTCGGCTGCCGGGTCGTCTATGAGGCAGGCAGGCAGGCAGGCAGGCCAGAGGGGAAGAGCCGGAAGGAAAAAGGCGTCGCCGGAACCCCGCACCGCGGCGACGAGGGGCGACGAAGGGGTTGGTTGGACACGCGTAGCTGATGTGCGGGGACAGGCAGCGATGGCGGTGGCGGTGGCGGTGATGCGGACCAAGCGAGGCGAGGCGAGGTGATGGCGGTGGTGGTGGTGGTGGTGGGGTTGGTGGTGGCGAAGGGCCAGAGAAGTGGTCGCCCCGAGCAAAGGCGGTGTCAAAGCCAGCCGGCAGGCAGGCAGCGCAGCCTGGTGCGTAGCGAGGGCAGGCAGGCGCAGACGAAGTGCGGGGAGGCTGTGCAGACGATGCAGGCCAGCCAGCTGCCACGCAGCCTGCCTCGCTGTCTCAGGCTTCATCTGTCAAAATTTCCTGGTCGCCCTCGGCCCCTCGGTCTCTTGGCGGCGGGCGGCCATTCAGCCAGCCAGCTTGCCGCTCTGTGGTTGTGGTTGCGGTTGCGTCTGGAGCATCGTCACGCCTCGGCATGGCATGATATGGCGCATTCACACAGCCAGCCAGCTCGCTGGTGAGAAAGAGAGAAGAGAGGGAGCGACGAGCTGGGCAGGCCAGGCCTGCTGGCGGCGGTGTGGCTGCCAGCAGCATGGAATAGGGGTCCTTGATGAGACGCAGGCCAGCAGGCGAGAGCCAAGCGGGCAGGGCAGGGCAGGGCAGGGCGAGCCAAGAAGCAAGCTAAGCCGAGCAAGCAGCCGCCCTAGCCCAGCAGCCTGAAATCGCCCGCGTAGACGAGTCGGCCAACAGCCGGGTGCATGTGGGTGCCGTGCCGTGCGTGTTCGGCTTGGCCGGGCCTGCCAGCGCCGTCGCCGTCGGAGCAGCCGTAGGTGGGCAGTCGGCCCTCGGCCCTATTCCGATCCAGCTCGAGCCCTCGGAGCCGAGACGGTCCATCTCGCCCGCCCAAGGTGGAGGGAGGCCGTGCCATGCGCGGAACCCAGCAGCTTGGGCCAGGCAGGCGGGCTGTTGACCGCTTTATCCGTCGGCCGGCGGCCCGACCCGCTGGCGGCGTGGGTTTGCTCCACCTCGAGCTGGAGCTGCTCCACCTCCATCTGCGCGACATCCGTGCTTGCTTGCTTGCTTGCTTGCTTGGTGGAGGCAGGTCGGCGCTGGCTGGCTGGCTGGCTCTAGGGCCCACGCACTTTGGGGGCTGCCACCTGCCTGCTGTCGGGATCGCTTCCGCCGGGCGGGGTTGGGCCAGGAGCAAAGCTCGGGCCACGCCACGCTCCCTTCGACGGCAGGAAGAACCGACCGACCGACCGTGCGCGGCCGGGCTCTGCTCGCATATATAGACGAGCTCCCGTCCGGCGCTTCTGTTCTGGCGGGCCATCATCGACAGCCCTCGTCCCGTCCAGCCTCGCCCTTCTTCCTCTCGGCCTCGCCTCGCCTCGCCTCGCCTCCTGTCCACCGACACACTTCCCTCGCCACCACCCCTGCACCGCTCCTGCCCACCATGGCGCCCGCACCCACGTCCAACGTCAAGATCGCCTTTGGGTGCATGACGTTCGGCCGCGCCGGCGTCGAGCAGGCGCGCGTCCACGACATTGACGAGTGCCGCGCCATCCTCGACATTTTCGCCTCGCACGGCCACACCGAGCTCGACACGGCGCGCATGTACGGCTCCGGGTCGAGCGAAGAGTACCTCGGCCAGATGGGCCTCGCCGACGCCTCCAAGAGCGCCTTCCGGATCGCCACCAAAAACTTTCCCTCGGCGCGCCTGCCCGTCATCAAGATGGATGCCTACGACCACTCGGCCAAGGACATCGCGCGATGCATCGAGGATAGCCTGCGCGCCCTCCAGACGGACAGCGTCGACCTCTACTACCTCCACGCCCCCGATCGCCAGACGCCCTTTGCAGAGACCCTAAAGGCCCTCGATGACCAGTACCGCCTCGGACGCTTCCAGCGCTGGGGCCTGTCCAACTACACGGCCGCCGAGGTAGAGCAGATCCTCGACCTCTGCGACAAAAACGGCTGGATCAAGCCCACCGTCTACCAGGGCGTCTACAACGCCATTACGCGCTCCGCCGAGCCCGAGCTCTTTCCCGTGCTCCGCAGGCACCGCATGGCGTTCTACGCCTTCAATCCGCTCGGCGGCGGCCTCTTCACGGGCGCCCTCGCCCGCGACGCCGCCGTCGAGGCCGGATCCCGCTTCGACCCGGACCGCGTCCAGGGACAGATGTACCGCAAGCGCTACTGGAACGACACCTATTTTGACGCACTCGACCAGATCCGCGCCGTCGCCGACAAGCACGGCCTCACCATGGCCGAGATCGCGCTGAGGTGGATGACGCACCACTCGCAGCTCCACCGCGACCACGGCGACGCCATCCTCATCGGCGCCAGCTCGACGCGCCACATTGAACAGAACCTAAAGGACCTCGAAAAGGGTCCCCTCGACCCCGACGTCGTCGCCGCCGTCGACCGCGCCTGGGAGAGCGTCAAGCCCCACGCACCGCCCTACCACCACTGAGCGGTCCGTCGACGACGACAGCAGCCGGCAAGCGGCGACTGAGGGAGCTTAGGCGTAATGTGTAATGTAGATCGTATGTCGGCATCGCTGCATCGCACCGCATCGCAATCTAGCACTAGTCTACAAGGCATCGACCGTCGGTGTCCAAGGTCGCTAGCCAAAGATCTCGTCGTCGAAATCGCCACGACTGCGTTTTCGGCTGGCACGGTTCTGCCTGCGTCTCTGCTGCTTGACGGCGAGCCGCGGGTCGACAGAGGCGAGAACGCTCGACAGACCCTCGTGCTGCGTCGTCTCGCCTTGAGCGTCGTCGGCTGCGACGCGGCTGTCGCTGTCGTAGGCAAAGGGTCGGTCGGCGTTGCGCTGCTGGCGTTGGAGCCTCCGGCGCTGCTGCGACTCGATCGATCCGGCCTTGAGCGACGAGGGGCGCGGTGCGGCCTCGGCCTCCCATTTCCGCGACTTGGATCGCGCCGCCTTGCGTTGCTGCGTCGCCGAAGGCGCGATCGTGTCGGCGCCAATGAGGTGGTGGTAGTGCTGCTCGACGATGGCGCTCGACGGGGCGGACCTCACGTCGTCGTCGCCGCTGGACCCTGCTTGCGATCCTGGCTGCTGCTGCTGCTGCTGCTGCTGCTGCTGCTGCGGCGGCTGCTCGAGGGGATGACGACGCAGCTGCTCGCGCACCGCCCGCGCCTCTTCTTCCGCCATCATCCGCGCCTCGGCCTCCTCGTCCGACTCAAACAGGCCCTGCATCATGTCGTCGTCGTCGTCGTCACCGTCGTCGACATCCTCTGCTTGCGCCCCATCGAACTGGCCTGCATCAGCGGCAGCCGCACCGTCCGCCGCGCTCGAGGAAGCCGCCGACTTCCTGGCCAACATGGCCTCCTTGATCCTGCGCTCCTCGGCGCGCTTCTGCTGAATCTTGACCTTCCGGTCGTTGAGCTTGAGCTCGATCTTCTCCGTGTCCGCGGCCGCCCGCGCCTCGTTCCCGATTCCCCGATCCTCGACGCCGCCCTGAGCGACTGCAGAGGGATCGATGCCGTTCCGCGCCATCTCGAGCCGCTTTTCGATCAGCGCCGCCGCCTCGGGACCGAGGATCTTGATCGTCGTCTTGCCGTGTTTGGCGCGGTGCGGGAACAGGTCGCCCCACTGCGCCTTTCGGGCATCCTGGTACGCCTGCCTCCCCGCCGACTTGGCAATCGTGAAGCGCTCAATGTTGCCGCTGGCGCAGCACGCGTCGAGCGTGACGTGGCCGCCCTTCTTCAGCGGAGGTCGGATCAGCCGCGGCCAGCCGTACGATTGCAGCCGCATGGCCAGCTCCGTCGCGGTCCAGTCGTCGCGGTCCTGCATCGAACCCGGCCCGCTGCCGCCGTCGGACAGGGCACCCCCGTTGCCGAGAGCGTGGATCAGCTTGGACGTGTCAAACGCGTCGCCCGCCTCGGCCGACGCCGCCGCCGCTTCTTCGCCGCTGCCCTCGGCCGCCTCGACGGAGCGCCGATGATAGTCGGACGACGACTGCTGCTGCCGTTGCTGCTCCTCGCGACTCGCCTCGATAAACTGGCTCAGCATCTCTTCGACGCTCTGGCCGCCCTCGCCTTCCTCGACGCCCGCCTTTTCCATCTCGGCGCGGAGGGCATCGGGTAGCAGCCGCATCAGCTCCTCCTCGGCAGAGAGCTGCCCCTCGGCGGCCTCTTCACCACCAGAGGCCAGGTCGACGACGTCGTCGCCTCCCTCCAAAGGGTCCTGAAGCTGCGGCTCGAGGCCAACCTCTTGGAGCGTTCTGCGCTCCTTGGCAGCCGTCTTGGTCCCGCGCAGCACGTCGAGGATGCCCGTCTTGGTCTCCTCGGCCTGCTGGACCAGGCTGTGCAGGTGGGTCTCGTAGCCGACAGCACTGTCTGCCTCAGGCTGCAGCTCCATCCGTCGCCGGGCCTCGGTCTCGAGACCCGGGCGGGCGCCTCTCCGGACGACCACGTAGCTGTACTCGACGTCCTCCTCGTTGCGCTTGCTGTGCCGCGTCTTGCGGAGGAACGACGGCGTAACGAGGCGCGAGGTGAAGCTGCAGATCGGCTGCCGGTCCTTTTGCGACGGCTGGGTGCCCACGACGGCGTGGGCGGCGCTCGAGATGGAGAAGGGGTGCAGCAGCGGGCAGGGCCGGTCATGCGGGCAGGGCGCCACGACGTGGACGCCGTCGCCGTCGTTGCTGCCGAGCTGGAGCAGCTGTGCGCGGGCCGCGGCGATGCTGGCAAAGCCGCGCGGCGTCGCGTGGTCGATGAGGACGAGCACCGCGGCGCCGCTGTCCCACATGCTCTGCACCGCGTCGGAGCGGTTGCGGTCGTGGGTCATGTGGCTGAGGGCGAATGCCGACAACGCCAGTGTCTTGCTGCGGTCGCCTTCGGTGGGCACCGGGACGTGGAGGAAGGTCTTTGAGATGCGCGAGATGGCCGACTTTGGGCCGTCGTAGAAGCTCGGTGGTTCCGGAGATGCGGCTGCGGCAGCGTCGTCGGCCTCGATGCCGTCCGAGGCGTCCTGGGCCTCGAAGATCTCTCCGTCAATCTCGATGGTTTCTGGCGCCTTGGAGGCAGGCTCCGGATCCTGCTGTTCGGCGGCCATGGGGACGTCTTCCGGAGAGCGGGTCACACTCTCGACGAGCCGCTTGCCCATCTTGAGGAGGTGCGACCGCCGGTCGAAGCCAAAGTAGTGCTTGACGCCGCCGTCCGGCTCGTCCTGCGTGTGTGGCTGGAAAGCGCTTTGTCCGTCGTCGTGAATGGCCGTGGGATCGTCGCGGAGAGATGCCTCCCGGGCGGTGTCAAACACCTTTGCCGAGGCCCACAGCCCTTCTGCGGTGGAGCAGTCGTAGTCGACGACGGTGTCGGGCGTCCAGGCGTGGAGCGCCTCGTGGCTGTCGATGCTCGGGACGGCGGGGCCGGCTAGGCGCTGTTTCAGCTCGGAGAGCACGGCGAGGATGGCCGCGTACCTCGCTGGCGATGCCGTAGAGAGGTGGAGGATCGAAGACCGTGCGGGAGGCAGCTTGTCGGTCTCGAGGTTGCTGGAGAGCGGGTCGTGTATGGTTGCGGTGCGGAGGTGGTCGTTGCGGAGGAGGTGCTTGTCGGCCGATGCGATGGCCTGGTCTACGCCCCAGACGACGTAATCTGGCAGCCTGATCATGTTTGCGTCTGGGAGGGCGGAGCGGTTGGATCCGTGGAGGGCGGCGCGGGACCTCCTGGCCTGGGACGAGGTGAGGTTGGGGTTGGCGGCGGCATGCTGGTGGGAGAGGTGGGAGAGGGCGGCCGACGAGGCGTTGGCGCTGTAGGGCGAGGGGGCCATGTAGGGGGTGGTAGCACCGCGTATGGAAGCGATGGTACTGGCGTGAGCGGCGTCTGCCAGCGCGTCTGCTCTGGCCGAGGAGGACGAGGACGAGTGGCGCAGCGCAGAGTAGGCCGACAGCGGCGAGGCCGACAGCGACGAGGCCGACAGCGACGACGACGACGACGACGATGACGAAGCCATGGCGTTGGACCACCTCTGTCCGGACGCGACCGGGAACGGCGGCCTTGTGCGGAACGAAGACATATGCTTGGGCTTGAGTTGTGCGCCGAGGGCGGTGTCAAATGTGGCGTTGGTGGTGGTGGTCGCGGTGAGGATGTCGAGGGCGGCGAAAAGATTGGGAGGCTGAGCGGTGCTGAGGCTAGGTTGGAAGAGTGCTGAAAAACGCCGGCCGGCGCTGGCGCTGCGCTGTTGCACCCTGCAGCTCCGATATTCGGTATCCGACTGCCGAAGGCGTCCCGCCCGTGCCTCATCAGCTGGCCAGCGCGCCGAGTCTTGCTTCCTCCTCACCACCATCATTGTCACGAGTCGACCATCAATCCAAGCAACCGCCCGATCTCCGCATGTAGCTCCTTCCTCTCCGCACCGGCCTATCACAGATCCGGCTTCCTCACACTGCGTGATCCGCGTCGATCGCCCCAAGCACACCCCAATCTACCCTTCACCATTCACTTGACCCTCTTGACCTTCGCCTGCATGAGGCTGACCCCAGTCCCGGATCATGGTCGGTACCGCGCATTCGTCGACGGGCGACCCAGCCGACCGTGCGTCGGACGCTCCTGCCTCCCACCTTTCAGCACTCGAGCGCCAAAGGCTGCAGGACCTCACGCAGTTCATCTCTCAGCATGTCGCCGCGCTCACCGACAGCTTCATCCAGAGCCTGATCAACCTCTGCAAGGTCATGCGGAGCTCGAAGCGCAATGACAGCATGCTCGAAATCGCAAAAGCAGGTGTTCGTGTGGCCTTCGAGTTCTGGGTCCAGGACAGCCTCTCGCCCGAGTTCGACGCATACCTGCCCATCTCCATTCGCTCGCTGCTGCGTTCGACTGGTGTTCGCCGCCTGAGCGACGATGCCCAAGAGATCTACAAGATCATACTGCCGCAGCTGTCCGCCGAATTTCAAAGCAGTCCACACGTTAGCATTGCTGCGCTGCTACTGCGCCTGCTGGTCGAGGGCGCCACCCGTGAGTCTCGTTGCGCCCCCTGTGCTCCATCCAGCGACCTGAGTATACCGACTGAACAGAACCACGGTACGGCACCATCCCTGAAGAACGCTCGCCCCCGCGCATCTTTTTCCCCGGCAACCTGGTCGAACGTGACTTCCACTCTGACTTCCGCGGCGGGGGCGATTGGCAGCTCTGCCAACACATCGAAACACTCCAGAAAACATTCGATCGTACCAAGCATTACTGCCGCACTGTGCCCATTATTCAGTCGTCTGGATCAGGCAAGTCGCGCACAGTGGACCAGGTGCTTCGCAAGCACCACCTTGGCATCATGATCTGTTATTTTACAACAAAGAATAATACGCGACGAGGACGACACCATCTCCGTTCCTAGCCGCGATGCGGCCGCCGCCGATATCCTCTGCACACCCCTGACCGATGAAAGACCAGTCGAAGAACCAGCAAAGCCGATCAAGGCGATCCTCGACAAGGACGAGAAGGCGAAGGCAATCCCTCAAACCCAGGAAGACAAGGAGAAGGCCAAGCACGCTCGCAACAAAGCTCTACGCGTCTGGCGCAAGAATCGCAACCGCATGCTGGCCTGGTTCGAGGCCTTTGCGCACATCTTCGCCGAAGAGGTGACCGCAGCCAAGGCGGCATACGAGCCCAGCCCGTTGTCCGATGGACGACCATCGTTCGTCGAAGAGTTCTACGAACACTTGCAGCTGGAATTGCCGTCCAGCCCCACAGATTTTGCCAGCAGAGGGGGACCAGACCCATCTCCCAGACGACAGGCTCTGTTGCAGGCCATCGCCCGTCGCTACGCGTCCAACATCGAGGCGCTAGACGAGGACAGCGATTCATCTGCAGATGCGTACCAGGCAGGCCCTTGTGCACAGGCTTTCGCTGATCTGCAGGCGGCGACAGTAGCCGCTTACGCGGGCGGCCCTCGGCGCGACAGCGGTGTCTTCATCCTGGCTCTGGATGAAGCTATGGGCTTGGGCGATCTCTTGCCGCACATTCGCCGGCTGTGGCACCGAATCCACGAGCCGCCCTCCAACGCCGACCGCCTGGTCCTCCTCGTGCTCGACACCAATTCGAGCGTGCATTACCTAGTTGGGCAAGGTGCGATGTAGGGGTCTGGACGATTGGCGTCATTCGAGATGGCGCTCCCTCCGGCATTCACCAAGCTTCCGCTCGACGTCTACTACGACGCTCTCACGTTCCAGGAGCAGGACAAGCACGGCAAGGTCTGGCGTGATATCCTACAGCAGCTGCCATTCTTTGGCCGGCCGCTCCTGGGTAACAGGCACGTCAAGTTCTCGAGCGGGCACGATCCCTCCAAGACGCAGCTGGAACCCTTGGTCGGCGACGTCTCGCTGGCCAAGCTGCAGGCAAGGCTGGTCTTTGATCGCGAGATCACCCTTCTCCCCGATCTGAGCTCCGTCAGCGACGGCAAGCTGTCTGCGGACGCCATGGATCGATACTTGGCCGCATTGAGCCAGCGCGTTCCACTGCTGTTCATCGGCTTGCAAGGAAACCTCGCCATCGAGCTCTTCCTGCAACGCCAGGTCAGCACCCACTTTCGGACTATCGTCAAGATCGTTCCGAGCACGTCGTTGATCATTACCGCCACCCCATCCGAGCCGTTGCTGAGCATTGCTGCCACGGATCTCTTCCGGAAGCAACTGGGAAAAGCCGCACACGGTGTGCTACATCGTTGGCGGGACTCAATCCGGATCATCCGACGCTTCAGGAAGTTCTATGGCTTCACGGCTGGCCTCGATGGAGAGGAGATGGCTCGACTGCTGCTGACGATGGCCACCGATATTTCATCCGTCGACGAGCTCGAAGCTGCAGCGGAAGCGAAGCGCATTGCCCGCGACAGGAGCAAGGTCACGACGAAATGCGTCGATGGCGACAAGAGCGGGGGCCTGACGGAAAGCGGCGAAGAGGACGACAGCGAGATCAGAGCCGAACTGTGGCGCAACGGCATGACGCTGCAGCCTCTGACGCTGTGGTCATGGCTCGTCGTGCTGCTGGGCGACGCAGTCGTCCGTGCCACGGCCTTTAGCGTGCCAGAGGGGCGGGCGAGCGCAACGCGGAGCAAGCGGGTCAAGTCGGACTTCGAGGCTTTCGCGCGTTCGGCCAGGATCACGTTCACGCACTTTGTCCGGCTGCCCAACAACATCCGCGACGTGAGCAAAAGGCAGCTGTCGCAATGGTTCGCCGAGCACGTCGCCATATTCGGCGCTGAGAGGCAGGAAAGCTGGGATCTTCTGATTCCGGTCTACGTCGACGACAGTTGTAACGGCCCGGACACCATCATCGATATTACCAAGTTCTCCTTCGTCGTCATCCAGGTGAAGAATCGAAACGCTCTCGTACCGCCGGAAAAGACTAGGATCGACCCACCCACGGTCCTCGAGGAGCCGCACGTCCAGGACTCTGGTTCGGCGACCCTCGCCGGTACCGACTCATCGCGCGACGCCGATGGTGCCAAGAGCAATGCGCCAGAGCCGCTCGAGTATCTGTCAATCTTCATGCAGCTCAATGCCGTCTTGAGCCAGAGCCAGAAGGCCGTCTCGTACTCGTGCAGCCAGCGGGGCAAGATGCGTGCCCACGAGCTCCAGGCCATCGGCATCGAGCATGCATTCGGCGAGATGCTGAGGCGGCTCGATAAACGTACGATCGACGATGCGTATGTCCTTTTGGGAACCAATCGCTCCACCCTAGTCTTTGAGGAAGAAGCGTACCATCGACAGAAAGGCACCGACATCGACCCTCGCGTCGCCTATGGGCGCGCACACAAAAGCCCTCCAGGAGCGCCCGCTTGAGTCGCCCTTGTCGTCGGGCACGATTTCGACCCATCTCCTCGTTGATCGTTCACGGTGCCGTCCCGTACCCTTGATCATGGACGAAGCGGGGCTCATTCAGCTCCAGCAGATCAGCTCCTGATCCTCCTATCCCTCCTCGCCTGAGCCTCTGACCGACCCAAATAGTACTCCACGTCACCATTCATGTTCCTCGTCGTGTCAAGGTCGGTCCAACCAGTCACCGTCGTCCATTTCCATGTAGATACCCGGGGCTGTCGAACACACCTCGTCGCAGGGCCATCCTGAATCTTTGAAGCTGGGCCGTGGCGTCGAGGCCGAGCCGTGGTGATGCCCATGCATGGCCTGGCTGTGCTCGCCGGGCCAGGTGGGTGGGCCCCGGCTGGCACGGCCTGCAGAATTTTGAGCTGGACCCTGGCTGGCCGTGACGCGCTGCGCTGCTGACTGGCTGGGCTGCATGGGCTCGTGGCTGCTGATGGCGTTGGCCCAAACAGCCTGAGCTGCCCTGCCCCTCAACCAGCAGCACCATCACCATCACCATCACCATCACCATCACCAGCACCAGCACCAGCACCAGCACCAGCACCAGCACCAGCGCCATCACCATCATCCTTCTGATCCAAACTCTGGCATACAGACCTGACCTCGACCGCTGATTGATCGACAGGCGAGACTCGGCGCCCCGCGACGCTCCCACGGCCATGAATCCACGATGCTGAGATCCCTCTTCCGCTCCTCGAGCACCGCCTACCCGCAGAGACAGTGCTTTTTCTGCCTCACCACCTCCGTCATCCTGCCCCCCTACGATGGGAGTTCAGGCACCGCCGACCTCGCCGGCGGCACCCGCGACCCCGCCGCGTCCACCTCGGCGCTGACCATCTCGACGGGCACGCCCGAAAGCTGGTTCTGCTCGTCGTGCCACTGCCACAACACGTTCCACCCAGACGGATCCTTCCACGACCAGTGGACCCGTCCGATGTGGGATGAGCAGTGGAATCGAGATCGTAGCCAGCTCCTCAAGCACAGGACGCCTCGTGCGGCTGCTGGACCGGCGCCGGGCGCAGATGGTACCTCCGCCCCGCAGCCTCGCGAGCAGCAGCAGCAGCAGCAGCAGCATTACCAGCTCAATGGCTCGGCCTTCCCACAACAATCGAACGCATACGACGGCGATGGGCGGCCCACCTTCTGCCACACATGTCAGACCAACCAGACGCTCCAGATGAACCTGCTCGCCGACTACATCCCCGACGAGCACGACCCAGAGTACGCCCAAAAGGTCCGGGACCTGCCAGCCTACACCGCCTCAATCGCAGCTCGGTATCCGAGCGTCTGCGAGAGATGTGCGCCTGCTGTGCAGGAAACCATCCTGCAGCGCGATCAGATGGCCAGGTCCTGGTCGCTCGCCCAGTGGCTGGCAGGCAAGAAGGGCTCTGGCAAGGCGGCCGGAATCAGCAATCCGCACGGCGGCAGGCTACCGATAGGCTCGTCAGGTCCACCTGCGCAACATGGCGGTGCGGAACACCCTGCGTCGCGCTCGGCGACCCGGCCGGCTGCTGCAGGTACCGGGCTTGCCTGGGCGTATCGAGGCAGCTGCTGGCTGCTCGGCACCGCAGCGGTTTTTGCGGGGTACGCCTTCGCAGCACTGAGGCCCCTCGTCGTCCGCGAGTGGCTCATGATCGCCGACTACCTCGTCCACGAAGAGCCGCTCTCGATGGCAAGCATCGCGACGCTGGGCGGCCTCGTCGTTCTCGTCAAGGCGCTCCTCACTGGCCATGGATGGGACCCGACCGCGCGACGCGTGGCCAAGGCGAGGCAGCGCGGAGTACGCCCGGAAACGCTCGGGCTGGAGCAGTGGTGGTCCTTCCAGCAGGCTGTGCTGTTGCTGCGCCTGGCTATCCTCGGTGCCGTCGTCGTTTGGCTTGCAGCATCGAGCTGGACCTCTCTGCCCTTGATCTCGTCGATGTCAGAGCAGGCCATCCGGACCTCAGGAGCGGCCGCCGTATCGACCGACGTGCTTCTGGTTGCGCTCTCGCTCTGTCGCCTGCGCGTCCGGATGCCGCCGGCTCTGCGCCTCGTCTCCCGGCCGCTCTCTGTCTCGACGTCGCGAAGACCGGAAGCGGCGAGCCTGGATCCGGCCGACGAGGCGTTCCGCTCGCTTTCGCTGGCCGAGCAGAGGCACGGGCTGGCGCAGCAGCCGATCAGCCATCATCAGCCGCGCCGTTGGGATGGCCAGCTCGTACCGATGTTGCAAGCGGCAGCACCCGCATCGACGGCAGCAGGCCGGCGCGCTCCCGATCCTTGGCCGTCGTCCCACGCCCCATCTGCCCTGGTCCGGGACCGCGATGGCGATGAGATTATGCACTACAGTCCTCCGCCCGACGGACTGCAAGCGCTGGACGAGAACCCGAGCTTCGACGACGACGACGACGACGACGGCGACGACGACCGCCTCCCTGCATCCATGGTCGCTGCCACCTCTTCTAACGCTGGACGATCTTGGCAGCCGAACCCACATCTGTGGTCGAAGGGCAGCAGATCAGGCACGATGGAGATGCGCAACGTCGCTACGGCCCGTGCACGGCCGACCGAGGCGTACGACTTCAAGCTGGGCCCGCAGCAGTTCTGGGGACCCGAGAATCCGACCGGATTGGAGGACGTGTTCGGCAAAGCCATCAAGCTCGTCGACGACGACGACGACGACGGTGGTGGCAAAGACAATGGCCCGGGACAGGATGGTGATGGTGGCGGTGGTGGCAAGGGCTGGAAGCGGTTCCTCGGCCTAGGTTGATCGAGGGCAGGGCGGAGACGGTGCCGCTTCCGGCTGCTAACTGAGGTGACGAGAGCTCGCTGCAATGGTCCTATCGCATGTCACCCTTTCATCATCATCCCGCGTGCAAGAGCACGATGGCGAAGAGCTCAGCTTCCCGTATCTGTCTGGCCGAACTCGCCCTGACCTGGCTGGCGATGTCGACAACGGCGTGGGGTGAGGGTCGGCCCCGATACGGCCAGGCCCGATTTCTTTTTCGCGATCTATGTCGAGGGTTTCCTTTTTGCAGAGATGACTCCGAGCCTGGTGGCCGCTGGTACTCGGCCGAGTGAGGGGCTGGGGACGCATTGCGAGCGCAGGATGGCGTGCCCGGCCCGGCCTGGTTGCCAAGGGCTGCACGCCCAACCTGGCCTGACCTGGCCTGGCCAGCTGCGCATTTCAGCAAAAAAGCGGGCCGGTGGTCGTCGGTCGGTTAGCCAGCCAGCGCCACCTGCTCCACTGTTCGCCAACAGCCACCACCACCACAGCCACAGCCACCCCCACCACCACCGCATACCGACGCACACGCACGACCGCACTCTCACCCATCCTCAGCTCAGCATCCACCCAGACGACCTTTCGGCCTCCCAGCTGGTCCCACATCTCAACCCTCAGTCGCCACGCTGATATCCCCGCCATGGCCCCCATCATGACGAATAATGACCTGAATCAACCCAGTCTCTACCCCGTCGGTAGCACCAGCGCTGCTTCCGACCACGATGGGGTCCCGCCGCACAGCGCTCGCCCAGCTGGCGACCTCCTCGTCCGCCACGCTCCCCCCGTCGTCGCCGCCGCCACCTCGTCGGCCTCGACCGCACCCGCTCTCGCTGGCTCCCCGCGCAGGAGCCAGCACTCCACTACGTTGGGCGCCGTGGTAAAGTGGTGGGCCTGACGTCCTCAAAGCAGAAATGCCTGGCACAGAGAGCGCAAGCTCGCCAGGTCGACGCCAGCCTGTGAGAGGGGTAGCGTCGCAAAACAACACCAACACCAGCACCACCACCAGCGGCGGCCGCAGTCTGGACCGACGCATCGATGACCTCAATCATCCAGTCTCGTCGGCATCTCTCCCGTGGGAGACGCCGCTCCCGCTCAGCGCTAGCGCCGTCAGTGGCGGCCGTCACCCATCCCGCCGTCACTCTGCCAGCTGGCAACCCACCGTCGTGGATGTCCGCTCGCAGCAGCATCGATCGGCCGAGCGCCACTTTGTCGAGACGCACGGCCAACGTCCCTTCAGCAGCGGTCTTCCGGCACCGGCCACCGCCGTTCCCATCTTTGGTGCAGGTCGAGCGAACCCGATCCTCGAGTTCCCCGACTCGCCGCCCTCGACTCCGCCTCACTCGCCTCCGCTCACACCGCGAGCTGCTACCGATGTCGATGTTGTCGTCGAGGGCGAGGGCGATGACACAGACCTCGACGCCCTCGGCACCCCGCTTGCAAAGATGTCGCTCCAACAGAGCCACAACCTGATCACCGATGCGGCCAACGCCATCTTCGAACAGCAACAGCAGCAGAGCCTAGTATCTCCGACCGCCGCTCCGGGCAAAGCTCATCCCACGGCCATCCAGGGCGCTACTGGCAGCGGCGCGCTCATGCCAGCCACGCCCGAGGTCAGCCCGGACAAGGAGGTCCAGCACTTTGCGCGCAAGAGCGCCGAGGACTTTTTCCACCGCATCTTTACCGACTTTGCCCCCGCCTCTGCGCAGGTCGAGGACGCCGGCGTCGAGCTCGTCTGCCCTGGCTGGTCCGGTGCGGTGCTCAAGACTGGAACGGCGGCAGAGGAGGCTGCCGGCGAGCGCTCCACGTCGTACGGCTCGAGCGGCGGCCGCTCGTCTTCCTCGTCTTCGTCGAGCGTGTCGAAGCGCACGCTGTATGTCAGCATGCCGCGACAGGTCGACCAGTCGCAGCTGCGGGAGCTCGTGCTCGCGCTCCTCGATGCCGCCAGCGACCGACTCGGATGCGGCACCGTCATCCTCTGCCTCGACCCGCAGATGCGCGACTTTGCCACCGTGCTGCACGGCCTGTGCTACGTCGGCGGCCAGGTCGTCTCGGTCGGAGGAGAGGGCAAGGGCAAGGGCCCGGCTGGCCAGCAGGTCGATTCGGTCGCACCGCCCGAGGCCGCGTCGTGGCGTTCGCCCAGCCCGGCCTCAGAACCCATCTCCGGCTGCTCGCCCCGCGGTGGCCTGGTGCTCGTCGGCGTCGAGCTGTGAGCTGGACGCGCGGCGCGGCGCGAGCGAACACCTCCTCTCGTGGTGCAGCACCCGCTCGCTCGCTCGCTCGCCTGCCTCTCTCTACCACCCTTTTACGGCTCAACGCCATCCCCCCGTTCCACCCCGCATACCAGGGCTCGAGCGACGCTCTCGTCGCTCGAGGTTCCACCCACTTCACGGATCGTGTTCTCCCGTCATCTCATCGGCCCTCAACGCGCCCCCCTTCCGCCTCGCCTCTGTCTCTCTCCTTTCCGATCCTAATCTGCCGCAGTCGCCCCTGTCCCGTGGTCCTGTAGTCGTAACACTAGTCATCAACCTCAGCATGGTTCGCATTTCACCCCTCTCTCTCTCTCTCGTGTTGGCCTGGACATGGTACCAGGTGGCTGTAACTCGATATTGCCCCAACCCGCTCGCTCTCGTCGTCCCGATCCCGCCGGGGGTCGGCCGGCCGTCCGCGGGCCTTTTTTCGGTCTGTGCCGGGCTTACTGGAATTCAGGGTGCGTTGGGCCCGCTAATTCGCCCTCGCCCTAGCTTGACTTGGACGCCGTGCCCACGGCCGACTTGGATGACGACGACGAAGCGGGAGCTGGCCGTCGTTGCTGCTTCGAAGAGGCCGAGACGGCCGCCTGAGTCATGGCGGCATCGACTTGCGCCGAGGCGTTTTTCCGTTCCCAGATCTGCGTGGCGCGGTGGCACAAAGACACAGGGGGGAGAGAGAGAGGGGTGGGTGGGGCCGTATGGTCAGCTATGTGGTCGGCCTCGAGAATTTTCCTCGACGGAACGGCCGGCAAGGGAGGTGTGAAACGGACCTGGATGTAGGTCTCGCCGAGAAAGATCATCTGCTTGTTGAGTTCCTCGACGATGAGGTCTTGGATCTGGAACCATTTCTCCTCTGCACGCGCACCCGAACCGCTCCCTCCCGAGGAGGAGGAGGAGGAGGACGAGGGGTCGATGGGTTGTCCGTCGGTGCGCGTGTGCACCTGCGATCGCCATACGCTATTGTCGCGCACCGTGCCCGCCGTCGCTTCGTGGGTGATGTTGCACACCAGGTCGTACTGCGTAGACAGACCCGGTTCGGCCGATTCGACGTCTGCACGACACGGCGCACGCATCCAGGGGGACGGGGACAGAAGAGCAGAGCAGGTCAGCAAACGCACGCCCGCATGGCGTGCCAAACACACCACCCGCGTCCGTTCTCTCGCCCGCTCACATTCCGACAGGTCCAGGTCCTTGATGGGGAAGTTGACAATCGTCGGGTTGCGCTCCTCGACAAAGCGGTTCTTTGTGAAGCGGCGAAAGTGGAGGATGACAAACGGCGGCAGCTTGACGACCTTGAAGCGGCGGATGGTGGCGTTGGCCTCTTGGAACGAGATGCCGTTGTACTTTGCGAGCACCGAGGCGATCGAGACCTGCGGGATAATGTTTTTCTCGACGGCATCCTGGAACACGGGCGGCGCCGGCAGGTCGACGGCGAGCAGGAAAAAGGGCGAGCGCGTCGTCTGCACCTCTTTTTCAATGTTGAACTTGGCGTTGCCGTGCTCGTCCTCCTGGCCGCCCTCCTTGCGCCCGTCATGGTCGAGCTTGTCGATGCCGTCCCGGCCCAGGTCCTCGGTGCCGTGCAGCAGCTCCTCCTCGATGCCCGTCCGCACAATCACCTTTTGGCTCTCGATGCGCACCTCTCCCTGGAAGCAGCGCGACACGATGCTGTCGCGCTTGCGCTTGCCCCCCGTCAGGTCGGCGTGGAGGCGGTTGAGGAGCCACCCGAGAAACTCGACCGGGTCGGCCTGCTGGGTCAGCTTGAAGCGCCCCTCGGAGGCGTTGGCCACCTCCTGCAGGAACTCGTGCGGCGAGACCTGGCCCTTGAAGGCGCGCGGATTCCACAGCTTGCGCACGAGGGCGCCAAAGCGCCGCACCAGCTCGGTGCTCGACGCCAGCGAGCCCGAGGCCGTCGGCCACCGTGACGACCTGCCAAGGCACACCGAGGGGACTAGGCANGC